AGGAAGCTATTGAGAAACTGGAAACCATTTCATTATTCTATACTGGTTTAACTTCTGCTGTCATATGCTCAGCCTGTGAATGTACTTGGGTGACTTAATTTGCTTAGCTTTTGTTAGCTGTTAGCGTGTATAAATTTTGAAGTAAAATGAAGTAAAAAGTCCACACACTGGCTCAGCCCCATGTCTGTATTGCTTGTGACTATTTTCTACAGGTGTTTACAAGATCAAATAGTTTAATTTCTGCCAGCCCTCATAAAAGCATCAGCTCTGAGTCGGAGGGAGAGCGACAGTTCAATCTCAATGACAATGGCATTCCAACAGCAACGCAAGCTTTAATGACAATGTATCGACGGAGGTCACCTGAGGAGTTCAACCCCAAGCTGGTAAAATACACCTCAGAGTGCTGTACCTAACTGAAGATGTTGCTAAATTATGTTTTTCTTTAAAATCTGTGTTTCTGACTCAGAATTCTGAGTTTCATGCTGCTACAGACAGTTGAGGCAATATTTTTCACAGAAATAATGAACATGCTGTCGTTTTACCAATACAAACAACTTCACTAGATAAAAAAAGCAAAGTTGGATGTAAATCAAGGAGAGGTGGTATGCCTGCTTTTAAGTACAGCTGCTTCAACGATATTCTTTAAACAGCAAGGTCTACTGGGGTAGAAACTAAGAAATGGGAGGAGACAGCCCATTGAGAAGAGAATTGGGCTGTAGCCAAGTTATTTCTTGCTCACTTGGAAAGTTAGGACGTTGCAGGCTTTTTAGCACTTAGCATTCAGTGGGGCAGAGTGTTAGAAGGGGAAGCTGTATCTTTATGCCTGCCTTCCTTTGCTTTTAGGCTAAAGAGTTCTTGAAGGAACAGGCCTGGAAGATTCACTTTGCTGAATATGGCCAAGGAGTCTGTATGTATCGTACAGAGAAAACCAGAGACCTTGTGCTGAAGGGCATTCCAGAAAGCATGAGAGGGGAACTTTGGCTGCTATTTTCAGGTAGGAATTCATTTGAATGTGACTGGGATGTGAGCAAAAGCGTGAGGGAAAGAGGATTTCAAAGATGTTTAAAGGTGCAGATAATAAGCATCTAAAAATATTTGGAGCAAGTAAGACAGTGATTGTTAGCAGGCGCCAGACTGGTTTAGACAAGAGTTCTGTTTAGACCAGTAAATACACTTTCTCAAACAGAATAATTGGGGAAGAATATAAAAAAGCAGAATGCACACTCTGTTACCAGAAGCCAGCAGTCTAGCGGCTTCTGGATGTTCAGCAACCACCAGCAGGCCTACTTCCCATTTGTTTAATCATTTCTGAATCCAGTTAAGCTTCTGTCCTTCACAGCAAGTTGTTGCAAGGAATTCCAAAGTTTAAGTATGTTGTATGGAACCAATATATTTTTTTTTTTTAAATAATAAAGAAAAAGTTACTTTATCATTTTATTAGGTGCCCCCAGTATGTGAAAATGATGATAAAATATTTCTGTCCATCCTCTGTGCCATCAAGGATTCTCTGGACCTGTGTCCCCTTAGGCTTTTTTTCAAAGTTGTAGACTCTTATTCATTTTAGTATTAGTTATATGGAAATCAGCCCATACCTCAGGCCTTCTTCATAACCTTTCACTTATTGTATGCCTTCTCTAGCTCTGCCCCTCCCCAAGATAGTTACCACAACTACCCACACCATTTAGGATATGAGCACACCAGGGACTTTATATGATGACCTAATGATGCTTTCTGTTTTGTTTTCTATTCCTTTCCTAATATTGCTTAATCTTCTCTTTGTTGTTGGGTATTAAACAAATGGTTTCAGGAAATAAACACAGGAATGCACAGATCTGTACCGTGTCTGATTAATAGTTAGTTTGGACCAATTTTCATGTTATATGTGTAATTAGTATTTATTCCGTGTGCATCACTTTGTGCTACTGACATTTGGTTTCCTTTGCTGCTGAGATTTTAATTTCCAGAGAAGGTTTAAAGTCAGCAGTGCAATCTCACAGCAACTCTGTGAGCATGCAGTAGTATCCCTAAGACAGGCTAAGTGCCCTGCCCAAGGTGACAGAGTCATTTTCAGAAGCAGGAATATAGAGTTCAGGGGTTCCTGTTTCTTGCTCTTGGCTGAGATATCATACTGTCTGCAACAAAGCATTAATCTACTCCCCCCTCAGGGCAAGTAGCTTTCTCAGAGGCATGTTTTGAGTTATTTAGGATAATCAAACCCACAGCCAGCTGCAGAGAGAGCTCATGATACCATGTGACTACACAGCTGGTTTGTTCTTCATGCCTCCTGTTTCTTTCTGGCTGAGAGAGAGGTTTTATCATCTTCCTTTTTTTTTTTAAATCACCTTTATAAAAATAGCATTTCATACTTGCTTTCAAAGTGCTTGTTGGTGACATTCAAGATTAAAAGATCATGTTGGGATACTGTATCTGCTAACCCTTGCTTTTTCTCTTCTTGTTTTAATACTGTTCTCCCACTCCCAGGAGCCATTAATGAAATGGCCACTCATCCTGGCTATTATGAGGACCTAGTGGAGAAATCGATGGGGAAGTATAATCTTGCTACAGAGGAGATAGAAAGGGATCTGCACCGCTCCCTACCAGAACACCCTGCATTCCAGAATGAGATGGGTATTGCTGCTCTAAGGAGAGTCTTGACAGCTTATGCTTTTAGAAATCCAAACATAGGATATTGTCAGGTAATTTGAAAACCTTGGCACTCCTTCAGTTTCTGGAATTCCAGTTCTTTCCTTATACTCCTGTTTCTTCAGCCATGAACATGAGCATTTGGCTGTGTAAAGTACACAGATACGTGTATAATGCTGTGAGGTAAAGCCTCAGTGCTGCAGAATTACAGTAATGCTGGGGTCAGAGGGATTTGACTCAAGGACCTACTCTAACAGAAGTATTAGCAGCACATGCTGAGATGTGTGTAGTTTTCTGTAAGCATATTTTCTGCTCATAAATTTAGAGACTGGACTGAAGATAAGATAACAGCAGAGCTGTCCTGAAGTGCCTCTACAGAAAATGACAAATGGACCCTGAAGAAAGTTTCTTTTTTTTTTAGCAGAAAAAAACCCAAAAACCTTTAATTGTTCAGCCTTAAATTTTTACCTACTTATTTAATGTATTAGTTGTAATAACCCTCATGAACCTCCTTTACTTTTTTTCAATGATGCCATTCAATCATTCAAAACAAAACTAAAAAAAAAAAAAAAATCCAAAAATAAAGCACCCTAGAAGATACCTTATCACTGTGCATCACAACTATGTATCGGTAGAGTTAATGCTGACCAGTGTGTGGTTTTGGAGTTCTTATGCCTGTGATTCAGGTCACTTTGGTTTCTGGTCCCAAATCATTCTTTCTTGCTATGTAACTTTGACGTATCACCTGGGCCCTGTTTTTGTCTTCCTACCTATTTTTGCAAAAAGGAAACTTGAATTCATGAGCATTAAGAAGCCTGATTATTCTCTGACTGTTAAGACTCCTAGATAGAAGACAAGTAAAGGAAAGTGCAAGTAATTCTAACAGATACCATCATAAAATATTTAATAGCAAATATAATACTAAGTAATAGCTACAATAACTTTTTTTAAAGGTTATTTAACAGAGTAACAGTAGAAAGACACTGTGATTTTGGTTCCTAAAGCTGCCACAGTAATTGTTAATAGCCTTGGGACTTGGTCCATGGCATTCAGAATGCTGATTCACAGTTGCACTGAGAATTCAGGCGCTGAAGTATTTCATACATGATAGACAAGATAAAAAGGAATAGCATAGACTTTGACAGAGTTGTAACACTGTTCTGAGTTTCAGTTGAAACCTTAGTTGCTCTTTCGAACAGGTAATGATCAAGCTGGAGTCTTAAAATGTTACAAGATCTGAAATGAGCAGCTAATGCCTTATGAGGCAAAGTGAGAAGAAAATGGTGCCGAAATACTTCATTTCTTCAGACTAACAGATGTCTAGTCAAAGGCTGTAAGCAAACAATTCAGAGGTCGTTGTACAAGGCTGTGATACTTGAAATGGAGTGCAACAGGCCATAAAAAAACTGCCGTGTACACAGTCAAACATGGAGAGTGAGCAACAGCGAGAGACTTCTTGTTTTACTGAGCTCTGCTTGTTTGTGACTGACACTGTTACAGGCGTTTGCCTTGGCTCACAGATGCTGTGTCTTGACCTTTTCATAGGAGTGGCAAGCGTGGGGAGTGCAGACGTGCCCATGCTGTACCACGAGGAGTGGCACAGCAGCGGCCATCGTTAGTGCTGTAGGAGGCGTTTGGTCTGCATCAGACCCAGATTCCCCAAGAGCACCTTTTGGCAGAATATCAGTAGCAGTGTAACTGCATGCTTGCAGACCTGAGCGGCCCTTGATTATGAAAAGAACTCTTGATTTTATTTCCTCCTTAAAAAAACAAACAACAACAAAACCAAACCAAAAAAACCCACCCAAAACAACCTAACAATTTTTTGTGGTGTATTTGAGGCTTCCATAAGCCTTCCTTTGAGCACTGGGAAAACATTGCCTCCTGTTTTTACAGGAAAATACTTGAACAGTTTGGGATCTGCAGGGGGAGATACAGCTAATTTCCTAACCATAGTAACCACTTGTCTGTCCAATTACTGTGCTAGGTATTGAATAAATGGGTCTAGCAGTTTCTGTTTCTTCTAGGCTATGAATATCGTCACTTCAGTACTCCTCCTTTATGCAAAAGAGGAGGAAGCTTTCTGGCTGCTGGTGGCTCTGTGTGAACGTATGCTGCCTGACTACTACAACACAAGAGTTGTCGGTATGTTAAGGGGAAATGTTCTAAAATTACAGTATAAAAATTGACCAAATTAATTGTTATTATTTGTATTGAAACAAGCATATGTGTAGATGTATGTGTGGCATTGATATAACTGTGAATGTTAGTGGCAAGACAGCTTGCTCAGGAGCACAGACGCAGTTACCTAAGCAGATACTGTGATAGTTAATAGTTTTTCACTTACTTAGGATTAGATGGCATTCTAAAGTGTACTTAAACAAAGTAAATAAAAAAGACATGGGAGGCTAAAATTTGAATTTTAGATGATACAGTTACATAATTAAGGTAAGGTGGAAACAGGAGCTTTGGCAATTTGCAATAGAAGTCTTCATGCCTGTTTACCTCTGATTTGAAAGGGCACAAGTATCTGAATGCTATAGTTGTGAGATGACAGTTTCCTCCTGTATGTGGAAGTGAATGGCTCTTCAGTTTGTCAGGGAAACTGTATTTACTGTAGCTGACGAATGCCTGAGATGCTCATTCAGCCTTAGAAATGATTCTTCCTGGCCTGCTTAAGACACTGATGTTATGGCATAGGTATGTATAACACAGGGTTTTCTTGAAATAATAAATCCAAACCCTCACAGACAGTCATCCTGGCCTCCTCCAACAGGTGATGCTGAGACGTCTTAACTCTAGTTAGTAGTGGTGAGTACTAAGCCATCATATAACTTCTGTAGGTCCTAGACCCTTATGAAGTATATAATTAAAACAAAAAAAACTTATTACAGTTCAGTTGGTATGTACAGCTCCGTAGTGGAATAGAATCTGTTCTTTATCTGAAAGTGAGAAAATGGGTGTAAGCATCGTGTAGAATATTTTTAGGTTTTGTATTTATACCTATAGAATATACGTATATATATCTTTCTCCCCTAAATGGCGATGTGGTCAGTTGCCTCTGAATTAACAGGCTTCCAACTTATTTATTTTCAACAGGAGCATTGGTGGATCAGGGTGTCTTTGAAGAGTTGGCTTGTGACTATGTTCCCCAGCTTTATGACTGCATGCAGGACTTGGGTGTAATATCCACCATTTCCTTGTCCTGGTTCCTCACTCTCTTCCTCAGTGTAATGCCATTTGAAAGTGCAGTGGTGGTTGTGGATTGTTTCTTCTGTGAAGGAATAAAGGTGATATTTCAATTAGCACTCGCTGTCCTCGATGCTAATGTAGACAAGCTGCTTAGCTGTAAAGATGATGGAGAAGCCATGACAGTCTTGGGAAGGTATTTATTACAGAAAATAAATTATCTTCATTTTATTTTTCTTTTTGCTTGCTTTTCTGATTTGTGTTCTTCTATGTTGAAATACTCAATTTAAACCAGTACAATATATGTAAATCTTGTACATGCTTATCGTCCCTTTTCACCCATATAAGGTACTCTTTATATTATTTTAAAATAATGGTAAGTGTCCAACAAGATATACATTCTTATTTCAAGACATTAAAATAAACTTCCTAAACCTGGTTATAGAAACTTTTTTTGTTGATTATTTTAGTTGATTTACATGGTTTTTGTTACTTCATCTTTTGCCTGCTACCTTTTAAATACTGCTAAGAAAAAGCCTTGATCTTAAGGGAAATTGTTTTGGGAATGGACTAAATGGAGCTCAAAAATTAAGTAGGCTCTTGAATGAATAGGTTTCAGTGACAAGAGGCTGATAAATAGACTGGATTGAGTCATTTAATACAAACTAATACCGCTGAGTGCAACCTCTGATTTCCTCGTGTTTGGTAGCAGTGTTTAGTCTTCAAGATGCTGCTGAAACTTTGGAATATTTTCCTAATAAGTTTCATTGGTATAGCATTACTGAAGTCTGTTGTTAATCTCTTTGGGATTAAAGATGACTGTGGTTGTGTTTTCTCTGAAGTCCCAATGCTTGCTGAGGAATTAAGTGTTTTGCAGCTGCAGGGTAGAAGATACATGATCTACAGCAGCTGCACTGGTGGGAGGAGCAAGCCCTTAAAGCCTCTTGTGTCAAGGTTCGGCACTAGTAGGGCAGGGTGATATGTAGACTGAAGCACACTGATCCGTGTTCCCATGGTGTCATACTTCCCTTGACATATTCAAACAGCCAGAAGCAACAAACCTGTTCAGTAAGCCACTCTTTTGTGACTAGCTATATTTGAGCTATTTCTTGGTAAGGATAATGAATGACATGGGTTACCTTAGCTCTCTTTGAGAAAAAGCAGTGTTAGTTTTTGGCAAATTACTGATGTCAAAAATCATGTAGTTCATTAGTAGAGAGGGGCTTGATCATTTTCACATTTATAATCTCTATATAATCCTTATTCTGTTAACCCTCAGAAGGGAGGGGGGTACAAATGAATCTTGGGTTTCTCATTTCTTTTTGTTTTTCCCCACCAGATATTTGGACAGCGTAACTAATAAGGGCAGCACTCTTCCGCCCATTCCTCATCTTCATTCACTGCTCAGTGATGATGTAGAGCCTTATCCTGAGGTGGATATCTTCAGACTAATCAGGTCTTCCTATGAGGTAGGACAGGATTTCTTAACAGGAACTTGCTAATCCACACTAGTTCTGCTTTACAGGGAAAATAGATACTCTATAGTTTGGCTTTGCTTGGAGCTGAAAGGACGTAAAAGAAATACAGACTCATCTCAGAAGTCTGAAATGGGGCAGGAGAAAGGGGTTAGTCTTTCTTTTTCTTCTAATCAAAACTTTTAATTGGAGCTGTTTTGTATAGAAGGCTACAGCATCAAAGAGCAGCCCACAATGAAAAAGTGGTTGACAAACAAAAGGATGAATTTGTAATTCAGAAAAGGTTAATTCTCATCTAAGCTTTTTCTTGCTTTCCAAACTGAAATGTTAACAAAGTCTATATGATTTCAGAAGACCTTTCTATTATCAGTGGAACATTGTTTCTTGTATCTTCTTTTTTTTTTCAGCAAGTGCTGATTATGACCACTGGTGACTAGCTTCTGTATTATCACCAAAGCTAAAAAAATTTCAAGTGAAAGGAGCTGGTAATAGCTAATATCTGTAAAGAACAGGACAAAGTCTGCAAAAAACCCTAAAATTTGCAAAGCAGTTCATTGTCCTTAAATTTTAAAAATAAGCCATCGATTAAAATATCCCTGATGATTTCACTGCCATATTAATTTTTTATAACAATTAAAGAGTAACTTTAAAGAGTTATTCTTCTTAATTTCCTTTTTTCCTTCCATTGATATGCAGGGTAAATTAGTATTTTTAGCTTAAGATGTAGGTTCATACTTAGCAATATGACAGCTGTTTCAGAGGCACTTCTTATGTCCCTAAAACCTCCTTGCTTTAATAACATTCTATTTGACAAAGAAGGAGGTAGTCCTTAGTGTGTTCTACACTGAAGGGCAAACCAAGTCAAGTTAGATGTATAGTCCTTCACACAAGGATAGAATGAGGAGAAGGATGTTTATGTGAAATTCTGTTTCCCTTGTATTTTTCTGATTTCCTCATCATGAAGACAGTTTGCATTGGCTTAACTGCTTTTAGATGCAAAGCCAGCCTGTATTTTGGGGGCTTATGCAGCACAGAACCTTGTAGCTCCTTCTAGATAAATAACCAGCTGTACTCCAGTATAGTTAGGCAAAACAAATAGCATGGGGAGTGAAGAACTGTGAGGAAAGCAGGAGATGGCTGCAAAGAGAGAATTAGTTTCAGCACAGTTGTTGTTGATTGATTTGATTATTAAAAAAAAAACTAACAATTCAACAGTAAACTATCAAGATAAAAAAATTCCAAGGCATGTGTTCCTCAATTACTGTTATGTTCCTCAATTAGCTGTGTGCAGTCAGGGCTGGGAACTCACCATTAGCTTTATTGCAGCTACAAAGAGTGAATTATCAAGTAAGTGAGCATATGTTTGCTAGTTTTAGAATTTAAGCTGCTAAAGGTACTTGTTGGGTAACCACCTATCCTTAATCTTCTAGACATTTTGTTGCTTATGAAAAAAATAGGAAGACCTACAGCTGAAAAAAAATGCTTATTCCTGAAGTCCTTTGCCCTCCCTCAAACACACACACACCACCCGTGAGGAGGGGGAAACCTTGTCCCTTGCAGACTGTCCTATGACATTTGTCCTGGGAGCGTGATGAGTCTGAGAACTTGGTAAAGGCATAGCACTGACAAAAGCACAATATTTGGATTGTTTTATGAAGAGCTACTTCCTATCATGCTCTGATCCTGTCCAGCTCTGGGGTAATCATGGCGTATACAAGTATGAGAAGTTTCCAGTGAAAGCTGGCGTGTTGGTAATTAAGCAATTAGCACCCCTCTCTGTGATGATATTGAACTGACTTTCTGCTTTTAAGAGAGAAACATTCCCGAAATAAGAGAATATACGTAACAAGTACATTTTACCCTGCCAGTAATTTTTTCATTTACTGAAAGTACTTTTTAGTAAGAAATCTCTTATCTTTCCATTCAATTTTGCAATTAATTCAGAGGCCGTAGAGCCTGATGTTACAATAATTACAATAGAAGTGACTGAAATAATGCATAATCACTACAGCATTAAAAGCCTGTGCATAGCTCGCTAGCTGTCAATGGAGTGTATATGCAGATATTCAAAGGACTTAAGCACATAACAGCTCTGATTTGTGTGTTAATTTGGAAAGAAATAGGCCTTAAACATTTAAGCCTAACATTCTATAGTCATATTTGCATTTTGGCCATTTTAACTAAACAACTGATACTCAAAGTTCTATGTTGTTGGAAGGTTTGATGCAGTTCTGATCTAGAACAAGTGACACTTCCAACAATTGCTTGTATGATTTGGAAGTTAGCATGGGCAAGGGACCATTCCCAGAAGGTAACTGCATGCAACCTGCCTTTTCTGTAGGCTACATGAGTTTTAGTTGTATGGATGTGAACAGACCACCTCATTTGGCCTCCGGACCAGAGAATAAGCCATGATTACTGGAATAGATTTGGCCTCAGAGCCATGAAAGACCTCTGTTTTCAAGGTTTTGTGACTTCTGTGATGCTTGATATTCATGGATGTTTATCTAGATTCCATTTTTTTCAAGAATTCTTTATTTGCAGAATGCTCCAAATACATGAAACATTGCTTTACTCCCGACGTACATGATAAAGGTGCACAGCTTTACAGACAGATGCAGCTTTAGTGTTAATTTGATCACACAAGAATGTGCTAGCAAATTATGACCCGCTTATGTAGATGCACTTGCACTGGAAATATAAATCCATCCTGTATGAAAGCGTTATCTTGCCACCCCCTTTTAGTTTTACATGTGGCATACTTGATATCTGGCATTATTGTTCCTGCTGGTCATCTGTGCATTTCTAAATAATGTTACAAGTGTTTTCTTGATGGCAAAAAACTTCTACGTGTAGTTCACACAAATAAATCTTAGGGTTTAGGCATTCCTTTACATACGAAAACACAGAATACTATTCTTAATAGGTTTTCCTGTAAGATGCTTCTGTAGTACATGAGGGAGCTCCCTGAGACTGTTATGTGGATTGTGGGGGGAAAAAAAAAAAAACTTCTGAAAATAAGACTTGGGCACTTTAGAGAATCTTCTTCTTAATGGAAGTTGCATTCTTGATTCTTGGTTTCAGACCCTCATGAACGTAAGGACTGCTGTACTGCCTCAGCCATGAGAGATCCAGTTAGTCTAAATATCTTTTCTCCCAGTAGCAATTAAGAGATATTTCAGGACAACTTGAAATAAAGCCCTGCAGAAGGAGTTATGAAACAATCTATTCATAGATTTGCCAGGCAAGAAGTTTCAAACTACTGAGATTATGGTTTGAAATGTGAGGATTTGTAAATAAAGACCTTTCAAATTAAATGAAAATAAATTATTGGGAAAAATAAAATGTAGTGATATATTCCTGAAGTCTTCTTAACTTTGTCATGTGTTAGAAAAACAGCTTAACAGCAGTTCTTTATACATATACCATTTGTGGTATATCACATAATTAATTTAATTTCTCAAATACTTTAAAGGCAAGCTAAGTATTCCAAATACTAATACACAGACTACTCTGTACTTTTTCTCTTTTAAGAAATTTGGAAGTATCCGAGCAGATTTAATTGAACAAATGAGATTCAAACAAAGGCTGAAAGTTATCCAAACCCTTGAAGATACTACAAAGCGCAATGTGGTAAGTACTGAAATAATGTAACTTTGTAATAATTTTGCAAAGATTAAGGTCAGTCAGTTTCTGAAATGTAAATCAGCTTTTCAATGAGACATGGATTTCAGATCCGTAACTGTTAATGTTATGTTTCAAAAGGTACGGACTATTGTGACAGAGACTTCTTTTACTATCGATGAACTGGAGGAACTGTATGCTCTTTTCAAGGTAAAGCTAAGTGAAGATACGATCATGTGCCTGCAGGAAATGCAGATGTTTATTTTTGATATGGGACTGTGTCTTTTCTAAAGACCAGGTTGAGTCTAAGAGTTACTTACTGTCAGGTATTTTAATACAAACTTGAATTAGCTGCTGTATTATTGAATATACCAAAAAACCCCGAAACAACTAGTTTTTAAAAGCTCTGGAAATAAGTAATTCACTAAGTGATTTGTCCATGGAAAAAATTAATATACTGGCGAAAACTATTATAGTGAAAAAGTGAATAGATAGAGGCTTCTGATCAGTCATTAGAAACTTATGTATGTCTCCCACTACCTGACCCAAGTTTTGGAGTTTAGCACAGAAATACCTTTATTCTACTATCTAACACAGTTAATACTTCCGTATCACAATAGCTGATTTTTGCCATTCTCAATGCTTTAATGTATACTCTATTACATGGAAATATAGTGTCACAAAGTGATGCGTCTTTGTAAGTTGATTGTACAGCAATACCATTAAATCCACAAATTTGAAGGTGAGCAGTTAAAATGCTTTAGCCTCACCTTCATGCGCAGTCACTTAAAACAAGATACTTTCCTCCTCTGTTTTGTTATAACAGAGATTTTTTGGTATACCACGGAGAACTTCTTTCCTTTCAATTTCCCGTCTATAATGTCAGGTCTTACAATTGTCCAAATCTTGCAGTGCCACAAAATCATTAAGGTTGGAAAAGACCTT